ATCTATCTATCTATCTATCTATCTATCTATCTATCTATCTATCTATCCATCTATCCATCCATCATCCATCCATCATCCATCCCTTAAAGGCTTAAAACAACAATGAAACCCTTAAAGTTAAGAGACCTTTTTCATTGGTTAGAGGCTCTTAAATGGTTTATCTATCTCTCTATCTATATACAGTGGGGGAAATAAGTATTTGACCCCTTGCTGATTTTGCAGGTTTTCCCACTTACAAAGAATATAACGATCTATAACTTTAATCATATGTACATTCTAACAGTGAAAGACAGAATCCCAAAGAAAATTCCAGAAAATCACATCATATGAATTTATAAAAAATTGATAACCATCTGATGAGGAAAAATAAGCATTCTTTGTAAGTGGGCAAACCTGCAAAATCAGCAAGGGCTCAAATACTTATTTCCCCCACTGTAATTCCTCACAAAGCAGCAACAGCGTCTGCTCAAAAGACGTTTTCAGTCTAAACATCCAAACATGTGAACCTCCTTTATCCCTGGTTCAGAGGTCTGAATGAGCTTTTCTTTTCCACTGGTACCTGCAGGTCTCTGAAGGGGTGCAGAAGGAGGCCCAGGGGGAGCCGGGCCTTGTTGAGCAGCGCCTGGGTCTGAGGGATGCTGGTCAGGGTGCACCGGAACGTCCTGATTGGCAGAGAAAAGTGGGCGGGGCATCAGGTTAGACCAGTGTTTTTCAACCTTTTTGGAGCCAAAGTACATTTTTTCATAGAAAAAATCTCAAGGCACACCACCAACCAAAAATGTTAAACAAATCTGTATCCGCCTATAGTAACACTATAGTTATTCTTATTTTATTCTTATCTTAAGTGTCTTGAATAGGAATCAAATAAACACAAAAATGTATTTTGATCATATTTTATATTTCTTCTTTCAAATTGCTCTTTACATGTCCACTTCAATATACAAAATTATATACAAAATCTAGTCATAAGGAATTATTACATGATTACTCCACCAGTCACTAGAACAGCACACACACTCAAAAATGGAATATTATTTGCAGATAATTAATTCCTTATCAACAAATCTTTTTAGACCAATGAGGTGAAATAGGATGATTTTCTACACCTGACCATCACTAACGGCACACTAGTGTACCGAGGACCAGGGGTTGAAAAACACTGGGTTAGACGGTTAAAATAGCTTTTAAAAGCTATTTTTAAATGCCTTAATGGTCTTGCCCCTGAAGTAATCTGTAAATGTGTTTGTTTGTTAGACGTCTTTGGCAGCCAATGAGTTAATTGTACTGTCCCTGTCAAATAAACAAACAAATAAAAATAAAATATTAGCCGGGGCGGACTCACTGCAGGCTGCAGTTGACCTTCCTGAGCTCGGGGCTGAGGTTGGGCTCGGGGGGCTCCAGGGGCCGGGGGGGCAGCAGGTTCCTCTCCTGCAGCAGGTCCACGGGCCTCAGGGCCTCAGACTCCAGCTCCGGCACGCCACTCAGACCCCCGAGGGCCGCCGAGAGCTGGGTCAGGCTGGGGAAGGGCTGGGGGGGGGGGTTAGTTAGTTAGTAGTTATCCGTCCCAGTGTGAGCTGTTTTTTTTCTCACCCAGATGCACCATCGGAAATCCGTCATCAATCTGTACAACGCCTCCCTCTGAGAGTCAAACTTAATCATTGACATTATCCACCACTATTTTGACCTTTATATATACATATAGTTTTTTATGTACGGTATATATCTATCTATATTATATGAGGAATTTTGTGTATATATATATATACATATACATATGTATAGACATTTATATATGTATATGCCGCTGTTTTATTTATGGAGCCAGTAACAAAAATAATTTCCCTCTGGGATTATTAAAGTATTTCTGATTCTGATTCTGATTTTGTTTAGTAGTAGGTAGGGCTTTCATGACATGAAATGTTCAACTCCATACCGATACTCAGGAAAATACTCGAGACTCTATACCATTTTAAAAACTACAAGGATAAAAACAAAGACCCCAAAATGTATCTGAATTTTGACAGGTTAGTGTCTTTGGTTTCAACCTGACCTGTTACTGATGTTATGGTGGCCCACATTAATGACCCTAACCCTAACCCTGACCCTAACCCTGACCCTAACACTAACCCTAACACTAACCCTTACCCTAACCCTGACCCTAATCCTGATCCTGACCCTAACCCTAACTCTAACCAGTGGGTAGAAACTGGAGTTCTCTATATAGGGGATGGGTGTAATTATCCAGGATGGACTCCTAATTATCTTGTCTTCATATATTTCACCTGTTATTTTACTGCATACCTTAATAATCTTGGATATGGCATTTTTATTCTTTACATTAAGAAGATGACCAGCAGATGGCAGATAAGGGAAGTATGGACTCTATAAAAGATCTATAGAACACGGTCATCAGAGTCCTGTCAACCTGGAGACTTAATTATTTTATATCTGGGGATTTTTGTTAATTTCTTTTGGTTAAAAGAACAAACTGTGCTCCTTTAATTTAGGCTTTTCTACCTATAACTCAATATTTGTCTCGAGTCTTGTCAACCTGAAACATAGCTAGCTTTCTGAGGCAGTATGAGACGGATTCACAGTTTCTAAATTGAATAGAATAAATAAAATAAATAAAATAAATAAAATAAATTAAATAAAATAAATAAAATAAATAAAATAAAATAAATGAAATAAATAAAATAAATAAAATAAATAAAATAAATAAAACAAAATAAATAAATAAACAAAAATAAATAAATATAAATTAATTAATTAATAAAACTTTAAAAAATGAATCCGTCTCTAAAACCCTGTCTGGAACAGGTAAAAACAAACAGGAAACCCCTTATATTGAGGAGGCTGACCTGGGCGTACTGCTGGTACCCGGGCTGGCCGTAGGCGTCGTGGGAGGGGGAGGAGTCACAGAGGGGGGCGGGGCCCGTTTGGTAGGGCGCCGCCACGCCGTGGTAACCATAGTTACCGTAGGGCGGCGCCGAGCTGCCCGGGTCACTGGAGGGGGGCAGGGAATCTGGACAGGAGATATTTCAGCATTAAAGAACAGGAGGTTTCCAAAATAAAGGGCTGACTCAGCCTTTAGACCAGGGGGTCAAACTCCAAAACACAGTCGGCCAAAGTTTAAAACCTGAACAAAGCCGCGGGCCAAGACTGAACAAATGAACCTTTTAATCTGGAACCAAACAAATTTTGCTTTAACATTGAATATGGAACAAGCAACTCTTATTACATTATATTTATATATATATATATATATATATTAATATATTAATTATATATTAATATATATACACTTTTTTTTTTTTTTTTTCCCCAG